CACATCAATATGTTAATGAAGTTTGAATATATTTTCGAATTGTGAGTTTGATTGATGGCAGTAGTTATTTGAGTTATTAATGGAACGCTCAAATATGTAATTGAATGTACAACTGATATAAATGAAAGAAAATATTTAGTATTTCAGTTCTGATATATACACCATTGTAATTATATTGTTCTTTTTTCCAGAGTGAATAGGGAAATAATAAATAAATGCCCTTTTACACTTAGTAAGTATTATAAACCGGATGTCACAGCATAGTGTATGCTAATAATATGGTAATTGAACAAGCAGAACTGTCGGTACTACAATTATGATGACAAACTCATAATATTGCTGTTCAAATGTTTTGCATATAAATTGGAATCAAATATAATTACCAATTTCACTATATTTACGAGGGGCGTTTAATAAGTAATGCCTCTGACCCACTTCCCGTTGTCTGATCTAGATGAAATTTTGCATGTTTAATGATTTACATCTCTATGGGTTATGTTGCAAAAAACAGCGCTGAACTAATTGTGGTTTTTGATTTACAGGTGTTTGAACTGTGTCAGGTGTGAAATGGAGCCAGTTGAGTGTCGCACAGTGATCCGGTTTTTGTATTTGAAAGGACGCACATCAAAGGAGACTTTTGATGAAATGAAAGAAACTTATGGTGATGATGGCCCATCATATGACCTTGTACAACGCTGGCATCGGGAATTCAAACATGGCCGGAAGTCTGTGGAAACAGCTCCCAGACCTGATTGTCCTTCTGCAATTGATGAGGTATCTGTCCATCAAGTTGAGTCAGCCATTTTTGAAGATTACTCTTTGCCAAATAGCCCAAGAGGTCAAGATTAGTACAGGGTCTGTAGAAACTATCATTCATGACCATTTGCATATGCATAAGGTGTTTGCCAGATGGATTCCCAGGTTGCTCACACCTTTCCAGAACCAAGAACGCGTCGAGTGCTCAAGGATGAATTTTGAGATGTGCCAAGAAGATGGGTCAATTTTTTTCAAAAGACTGATTAGACAGGATGAAACTTGGGTCCATCACTATGATCAAGAGACCAAAGCCAAGACAATGCAGTGGAAGCACTTGGACCTCCTAGGAAGGCAATGGTGCAGCCCTCCTCAGACAAGCCAGACCCTCCTCTGGCTCACAGTCTTCTGGGACGAGGACGGAATAGTGATGACAGATTTCCTGGCAAAGGATACCACAATTACAGGAGCCTATTACCCTTCACTTTTGATGAAATTAAGAGAAGCTATCAAAATCAAGGCAGGGCAAGATCGGCAAAGGTATCATCTTCCTGCAGGACAACGCTCCAGTCCACAACTCGCATGTCACCAGATCAGAAGCACGGGCGTGTGGCTATGAAATCTTCCTCCATTGCCCTTACTCTCCTGACCTTACACCCTCTGATTTTCATCTCTTCCAAGCCATGAAGTTGTTTTTGAGAGTAAAGCGTTTCCCAGATGATACAGCCTTGATTTCCGAAATTATGACGTGGTTGGAGGACCAACCTGGGTCTTTCTACAAAAACGGTGTCCAGAGCTGCATCAAACGATGGAAGAAATGCATAACTCTAAGTGGTTCCTATGTAGAGAAAAACTAATAACTGTGCCAAGTTTCATCAATTTCCTGCTTTGGAAAATGGGTCAGGGGCATTACTTATTGAACGCCCCTCGTATATAATTAAATAAATTAAGCTTTTCACATTATTACTCGATGCACTGAATCTCTATACAAGACAGTAACCCTTTGAAGAATATGACAATGATATGGAATATGACATGTTTAACAATATATCAAGGCAAACTCTATGTATCCAGTACGAACTTACCACAGTACAAACATATCACAGTACGAACATACCACAATACGAACATACCACAGTACAAACATATCACAGTACGAACATACCACAGTACGAACATTCTCGACGTACTATATACACGTATCGACACAAAGGTTGAATAGGTCATAATCGAAAATGGCCGTCAAACATCCGCTGAGAGCGAGAAATCCCGAGTTTTGTCCCCCCTAAATACAACAGCATTGAACAGCAAATTTTAAATAATTCAGGCCTAATCGAATAACCCAGGTTACTTGTTGTCTCGAAGTAATTTAATATTATTAGAATAGATCACATTAACACATATATGTCAAGGAATTTCGTTCCTGTGTCTGCCGATAATGATGTGAGCACGATATTCCCCTGACACATACTACGATTTTCCGTCTTCGTAATCTTGTCTCAAACCGACCCAACCTTACTCATGCATAGACGTGGAAAACAAGCCGACATTGCCTGTAGCAGCAATACTCCCATAACATCTCGTTGCCTCTGTTGAATTAACCTTTTATAAATGAATCAGTATCTTCAAAAGTATCATTTATAAGCGCGTTACTTCAGTAACTCGCTCTAAATGTAACGAACGAAAAAAAATTAATTACATTGGGATGCTGTGTCAATTGATTGCTGCATGCTGAGATCATCAGACAGTATGACTGCCGAGACGTAATTCCGGTGAAATTGATCATGTCTAAGGGTTACGGATGCCGACCATAAGTATTGTATATCACTTTTACGTGCGTCATGCTGCTTAAAGTAGTTCTACTTAGTGTCACCTATTTGTATGATGTAGCGAATCGATATTAGTTTCCACGGTTAATTCGCTATGAATTGCTCTGTAGTACATAGGAATACGTCGACTTCTTTTGTTCACTATTGAATCAACATTCAAAAGTTGCTTTGGCAGATGTAATGGTAATCGTGATTATATATGGTCACTTACAGAAGCTATTGGATTATGATTCAGAATAATATATTTTTGTTTTTGAAACACCTGACATCACTTCAAGTGTACTATGGTGACCATGTTTCTTTTCCCTCACTGATTTGCCTGCCAGTTGTTTTGTTCTTGTGGATTGTCGTTTGTCTTGTTTTCTTTGACTTGTACATTATCTCATAAATTCACTGATAGCTTACCAATATATGTTTTTCGAAATATAGAGGACATTACAACTCTTGATCAAACGTATACACAGATTTGTCCGAGGGAAGAACACACTTTACGTAACACTATAAATAAATATTCATAAGTTGTTGTTTTTATATCGTACATGGCTTCAAATAATTTCATGTTGGTTGTGCATTCACAGATTGAGTTAGACTAAAGTGTAGATTTGGATACCGATATAGCTAACCGACAATGAACACATTTCAGTCGCTTACACTAGGCAGGGAATTATTCACCTTAACATATCATCATTGTTAGTGTATAAAATGAGCTCCAATTAATATCGTACTTACTCTAAACAGATCCATCTGTCGTACAGAAACACTGGTTTCAATTTTAACTAAGAACATAACAAAAAACATATGCGACCAAATTCAGAAGCCCCAAATATAAACATAGTTTTCCTATTCTATACGTGTATGGACTGTCGTCTTCCATTCTGTAAAGTTTTCTGGAAGATAAACGACAACAATGTGATCAGCAGACTATCTATGTCAGTTAGAAACCAAAAAAACTAACCGCTCCTTGCTTTGTCCAACTTATTTTAATCGGGTCCTTATACTAAACACAATGCATCTAAGCTGCAATGCCACAGTTTTATTTATTTATTTATTTATTTATTTATTTATTTATTTATTTATTTATTTATTTATTTATTTATTTATTTATTTATTTATTTATTTATTTATTTATTTATTTATTTATTTATTTATTTATTTATTTATTTTTTGTACTTAATAGGTTCGAGTGAATTCTTTTTATCAACATTATTTGTCCGTTGTTTAAAAACAACTTCCCTCAGTTGGGAAGACGAGTTCTGCTGACAACATATTCAGTTCTAACAAAATTCATACCATGATTCTTTATTGTAGCATTTGAATCGCCTAAGACTATATTAACACCACTGAGATACACGTTTGACACATGTTTCACAAAGTTGTGTCTATCTTACCTGACTGAAGGCTGAATCCCAGATTAGGTTTACGTTCAGAACTTATTCCTGTGAGGGTAGTTGCGAGAAAGATATGACACGCCGCTAGTATGTTGCTGTTTTAGACGACAGTTATATGCAATTCCAGTGAAATTAATGCGTTTTAAAAAGCTTTTAAAGTTGCGGACCAAATAGTGGAGTGGTAAATAACGTCAAAAAGAAATGCCTTGAAGTGAGTGCTTACAATGTACAATGTGTGAACTGAGTTCACCAACAATCAGATGTCTTTTCCTGGGTGATAAATGCAACCTACAGAAAATGTATAAAAATACATACACCACAACATGAAGTAGGATAAACAATATTTTTTCTCACATATCAAAGATAAAATAAACTTACACGGAAATTCTCACTCAAAAAGCCATAGATGATTGGATTGACAAAACTATTTGACATCGCCAGCCATAGTACGCATGCGTTGATTATTCTCATCCGGTCCTGACTTTCTATCTCATAATAGAGCTGTACATTGTAGATTACAACCAATTTGAATATATGATTCGGTAACCAACATATAGCAAACAGCATAACGATAACTACCAACATCTTTATGATCTGAGTGAATGAAAATTAACATATTTGTATTTACATAGTATTGATTTAAAAAACGAATGTATTATGAGTAGAATGTCTCAGTTATAATTCTTAAGTATTTTTTGGAATTCGTTCTATTTAGCAGGTGTCCAAGAAATGAATATTTTTTTGTTTCAAAAATGTCGCATAATTATTGATTTGAGCACAAATCTTCTTTAGTTTAGTTTATTATTATGTTTTCCGAGAAAAAAAAATCAATTCCTTATTAAATCCTAAAAAATATAATTAATCGAGTTAACCATACAAAGTTTGATACATATGATTTTTCACTAAAAAAATTAATATAAATATAATTACGAATCTGTGCACCAATGATGTATTCTGGCGCACACGCACACAGACGATAACAATTGTGACATAGTAGTTACCTTCCTCTTAGCTTTCGCATGGTCTGCGTCTCTGCTGGCATCAGTGTTTCCTGGTATACTATGGCCCCATAGACGAAGCGCTACTCTGGTATATGTAAACATCAATATGCAGAGTGGAACGAAGTACGTCAACACTTGAAAAACGATTTCCCATACATGTGCAAATCTGTCACTAGGATACCATTCACTGCAGAAGTATACGACTTCGCCGTTGTAGTAGTTATCGGTAACTTCCACAAATATGACTTGGAATACAGACAGGGTGATAGCTATTATCCAAATTACGAATATTACAATCTTCGTAGGGTTAGTGGTTACTCGGGATCTTAGTGGATATATTACAGCTATGTAACGATCGATTCCAACAGCGATTAGTGTGCAAATACTGACCACGACTGAAACCTAAGAAAATAATATAAAATGCAACTATCAATATACTTGAACGAAAATGGCCGCCGAGAAAGCCAGTAAGTTGTTTTTCCCGCATATAGTATTCCGTTCTTTCCACAATCGCCATGACCAGTGTATGCGAGAGAATTGAATACTATTTGAGAGGCAACTTTCAACGAGATCTCGGCGGCCATTTAAGGTCTATCAGATTAAGTTTTTTAGTTAGCATTTGAAAAAAACATATACACTTATTGTTCATATACATAATACATTAGAACAATATATACAGACATGCATCTTTTGATCAACACATTAATTCACAAGGTAAAAAAGTGTCAGAATCATGTTCAATATGTTGTAACTAGTAATGCTAGGTTAGTGTTTCAACTTGAAGTTTTCGTACTATATGTACTCGAAAATTGGCGGTGGGCTTTTCTTCCGATTATTCTTAAGTTATAACAAAGGACGCACTAAGAATTACTCTTACATTTTTCAGTCCAAAATATTGCAGTGATCGGATTATTAAATATCCTATATAGTTCAAAACGGATTGATTGTACTCAAGATAATATAACCTAGAATTGCAAAATGGAATGAACTAAAGTTTTTGATTTACTTTTCCGTATATTCAATACTTGTTTAGTACACCAAAACCGGATATCAATGTTTCTAAACAATTTTTTGAGCAGAATTAATATATGAAATTAAGATTAAAAGAATAGTATTTTTTTGAAAACTGAATAATGTCAGATCACAATTGTGATCATTAATAACGCAGACTTTTGAATCTGCTAGTAAAACGAATACTAAATTATTCCGATAATTGTTTACATGTATTTTTACATAAATGATCTGTAATCTGAATATAGAATGTAATCTGAATATAGACACACTTTTAATGGTAAATTCCAAATTAATTCTTTTTCAGACGTAACATGTACCAACTTCACATATTCATCGATCGCAGTAAGTTTTTCTCAACATATGCTAAAACGATGAATCATTTATCGGCAACCATTCACAATGTTATGCCATTTAAAGGACATTCTAGACAGTTTAACATGATACAGCTGGAACTATCGTGCCATAGGCAACACAGAATAACAAATTCTCAAATATCATATACAGTCGCCAGTGTGGATCGCGTTTACATAAACTCGTGAATACCCTTCGGAAACTAAACAGTTATTTTGTAATGATTTGTCTACAATTTGAGCTCCTGTATTATAATGACATCAAAATGCTCTTATACGCCTTTACGAATTAGACTGAAACGGCTGTAATTAGTGTGCACAATCAGGACGATATACTACAATAATGAGTAGTATGCAAATGCAGACCTGCTACATAGTGTTTTTTTAAATATGAAATAACAGAACATTGCCGAAAGCACGATTCAACACTAGGGTGGATGCAATGAGTGAAAATCACCAACCAATCACCATTAACAGATGTTGCTAGAAATTACGATAAAGACTTTCTGTTTCGACATTGTGAAATTGTAATTTGAACGTAATTGTAAGTCGAAATAGCAAGTTTCTGCAATTGTCACCTAAACTAGTTATATAATCGATGTATGGAGTATATGGAGTTTATTGCTAAGGAAACAAATCTTAGTAATTGCGCTAGACAGATTATTGCTTGAAATAAAACGGAGAAACGTAAAACCCTAAATACCATTAATTGCACGCATATGACGCTGTAGTTATAACCTCGTATGCTGATTATACATTTAATTACTGGATCGGAAATCCCAACCGGAATACAAAATGCTAGAGATCAATCGGTCGTCTAGGTAACAGCGCATCGAGGGAAAGCTGTAATTCGCAGTGCAACATTCTAAGTTGAGGTCAGATTTACCAATTAAACGCTAGTGGAGATTAACTAGAAACCATCAATTGTGCAGATGTCTATGTGTGTTTATTGTATTTTGATCGCTGTCGTTTATAAAAAGAACACAATAATCCCACGTAATGTGTTTGTACATGTTATACATGGAGATACAACAAATATAAGATAATGTCAGAAATTACATTGTACACATTCTCAGTTACGGAAATTGACGTATGAAGAAACTACAGTCTTGCTATGACGTAACTGCTCCTATGGAAACCTTACTAACCAACTTCATCGATAATTGACTTTTTCATGGTACATGCTTTTTCGAACTATTGATGACTTTCGAGTAATAAGCTAACGAATTTCTTCTTCCTCGGCTTTGCAACGGATAAATGCTGTCCAATGTACTAGCATACCTAACATTATAGAATATGTTTCAAACGCCGTGAGACTTAACACGTAATTAACATGTAACAATTTATAGAGACCGCATATACGCCATTTTACACATATAATAACGATGACAATTTTCTTCCGAAGATATAATATTTTACAAAAACAACAGTTTACGGAATAAGCGTTCATTGTATTAAACTTGCTTTTTATTAAACGTGTCAAATCAATTGTATTTGTAAACGTATACTCAGTGAATACATTTATCACAAAGTTAAAAAACATCAACTAAAATATGAAATTATTTGTTAACATTAATTATCTTAATAAACTCACAACGAAGAATATCAGTAAATCGCAATTCATCGTTATCAAAATATACGTCGACAAAAGTTGTCCTGCCAGTCTGTATCGTCGAATAGATTAAAATTATCACGAGATTACCATAAAATATACACGAAGCAAATAATACGAGCATATCGACAAATATTTGTTAAGCTCTATATCGCTTGTGTCCGATAAAACTTTTGACATTAATAATTTTGAAAGCGTCAAAGTCGTTTGAAAACTTGTAGATAATATTGGAAACGAATACTTTAACGGAGTGGTAAATTCAATTGTTTTGGCGCCAAATGTATAACTATATATATAATACTTCATTAAGTACTTTGGACAGTGGCTTCATGTACAAGTGATTGAATACATATAAAGCAACTACGTTTCTATGTACAGAAAGTACGACATATTATTTTCAAATATTTGATTTGAAGATAATATCAATACTTTTGTGTGGTTCAGAAAACTTGGCTTTTTACGATACCGAAGACATATAGCGAGTACATAATATGTTTTGTTAGTACACCCTTGAGGTTCACAACGACGCTTCTATTTTTGTCAAGGAAATTATGAAGTCATAGACTTAAATTCAATATGCTGACAAAAATAGTATAATATTGATTACATATACTGCAGATATGTTAATATTAGTTATAAACCAGAAAACAGTTGTGTTGGGCCTCACAAGTTGAATACGTTTAACAGGCCCGTAGCCAGCACTTTTGAATAGGGGGTTCGAAAACAACAATTATACATTTGATGTGAAATGTGTGAATTTTATAATATTCAAAAAGTGTTTTTGAGCTCTGTTACAGACATTTTTATATTATCGGTTTTAAATTAAATTTTATTGGTAAGACATTTCACATAACATCTTTGAACTATTTTACCATTTTAGAGAAGGTGTCCTGAGCCATACCTCAAACACATCCACACCATTGATCCACTACGGCAAAATGTTGTAAAAAAAAAGACTGTACTTATGTTAGCATTATTGTCTAAGTATTTTAAGGTAGAAGGCTACTTACGAGTTTTTTCGCTCTTCGCAGATGTTAACGCCACATAAAAGTGACACGATTTCATGTCGAAATCTGTCTACAATTATTCATTTTAGTATTAGTCAATTTTGTATTATGTAATTTTATTTCTGTACAGGGCCTCAGCCTATCTTACAAAATGTAATGGGTAGAAAAGTGCATAACACGTTTTAAACACAATACAACATCCATGTAAATACATGGTACTAAGTTACGCTGAATTCATATTCATCTCGTCGCTTGAAAACTTTTAAAAATATAGAGCTATTTGATATATGGTGTGACAGTTTGTGTAGCGACGAAGTAAGCCTGTCAGTATTTGCATAATTGCATAGGGTTATTGACAAAAGATCAGCCCTTAGATCATGATAAAATGGACATATAAAAACAAAGTAAATTTCATTTTCTACGATGCTAAATTCGAACGTATCACTGCAAAAACTAAAAAAATATTGATCTAAATGTATTTTTGTGTGTCTGCCTAATTCAACATTATGTTTATGGCCAAAACAGCGAAAACTCGTCAGTATATATTTTAGTCTATAATTGCTTGCCAATAAATCTCCCAGGTTATAATACTACTTTGATTTTTTTAAAAGTACACAGCCTGGATGATTGTGAAATTGAGACATGCCACTATTTTTTTTATTTTTTGAGTGAATATTCCTAACAAATTTGCAGTATCTCCAACTTGATTTTCAAACCAAACAATGCTGAAACCATATTTGAACAAGAGATTTTTATGTGGGTTTCCCAAGCAGTCTGCCGGTCTTGTTAATCGTTTAAGCATGATATAACATGTTTTGGGGTTTCAGTAATTTTAACCAATATGAGATACAACGCTTGAAATAACCACAGCACAATGGCAGCCTTCCACAATCGTCTAACATCGCTGCATTGTTTGTACAACTATTAATACTAAGTACCGGGTAGATATCTGCAAAATATTATCTGTACCCTCTCTATTTCCGAATTTACGTACCCCCATATCGCTACCATAAGAAATAGTTGGCACAATGATTGCATCAAACAAATTAAATGCACTAACCAATGGCATACTACCAAGTTTCTTACAGTATGTAAATATATTTGGTTCACTGTAAATCTGTTTTTAGAGGGCGGTAAAATAATATGCATACAGTGGCAGTTTAGCAGCGATCTCAATAGACTTCAATGACTACAACTCCTTTTATGAACCCACTAAAAATATAGTAAATTTTCTGAGACATAAAAAAAATGTTTGCAATTTATGATTTATCGCATAGTTCCAGTGCTGAAGCAACACTGTGGGGTGAATTGTTGGCTGCAAGAAGCTCTTCGAACCTATACAACTCGTGATGACAAATCTTCGGCATTTTTTTAATGATATGTTCAACCCGTAGCTGTACACTATTGTCCAATAACAGA